CCAGGGGCAGGCGCGAGAGCGTGGCTTCGCAAATGTTTGCACCGGCGCTAGTGCGTGTTTATACACGGCGCTTTCAAGACATACCAACTCGCCCCCGTGCTCTCGGCAACGCCGTATACAAAGCTCTTCGCGTTGATTACATTCGACGCTATCCAAAACACCTCGCTCAGAATCGAGTTTCACTATAGACAAAACGTACAATCGGATAGCTTTCCTCGCAGATCTGACAAGGTTCGCTATAGCCTTTATGACGACGTCTTTCGCCGGCAACCCACAACCAGGGATCGAAGAAGCGCCATCGCTGAAGCATGACTATATACTCCGCTTCGCCTGCGGTTGGAACGCAGATGACTCTATGAGGCAATGCAGCCAATTGGATGCCGCGTGAGCGTCACGTACGTGACCTTCGGGAGGGGCGGGACACGTAGTAGTTAACACGACACGATTCTCGCTGCGTGATTGGTTCTTTCTTCGGCGCTCTCATCGGCTCATTCTACAGTCTCACTGGCTGCGGAACAATAATAAGATGCCGCGCAATCCCCATGCCCCGTGTTTCTTTCGCTGCCGGTGACTGTAACAGGCTGAAAGCTAATATGCCTCCCCGCAACGCTTGTGGGTCGCTTAAAGGGATAATGAAATGACCTTTTTACTTTTGCCCAGATAACTTTTACATTAAACCTTCAACATTCACTGAATGCCGAACTGGCATCTGTTTTCATCTCTGTTTATTAACTTCTACACAAAAAAAAATGAAATATCGACCTTTTCTTTCTCTCCAACTGACCACAAAACAAGTTGTGGCGTAATTTTGACGGTCGTGACGTACTCTGGCACACGAACCGGGAGTTCTCTCGGCTGTAGGAGAAGGGGAACGTTAGCGGCGGCGAGTTGCGGGTGCGCCGGTAGGTTTTACTGCACTGATGGCGCTGATGTCACCGACGTATTTACTGAATCGGCGCCTCTTATCGCCGCGATAGCCTTGGACACATCGCAGCTGAGCGAAATTCAATGAGATATGTTGCGCTACAGCGACAGCATGGACTAGTCCCATACACCGGTATGCCTGTTGGGAAGTGCGGCGAGTCTTCCAGTGAAGACTCCAGCAGTCAACCCAAATGTCATTGTTGGTGTCAGTGGTTTGCAAAGCGACGTAGATGGAAACAAATTGCCGCAGTGTTTTTCTCGGCATTGGAGATGCAGGAGGGAGCCGACGTTAAAAAAGATACGTTTGAACTACGACAGTGTCAGCAAGAGACGCGTAAATATCTGTTCACACTCGGCAGCACTTCCATCGTTTGATGGAAGTGCTGTATTCGCGCTGTTGGAAAGCGGTTCGGGACCGACCTTTTAAGATTGCAACTCAATACTAACGTGACACTTGGCAAAGGAAGGTTGGACCGGCATTGCACGCAGCTCCCACGAACTGTTATAGCTCGACAGTGACGTGCAGTCGTGTCAGAATAAAAATGGCATACTAATAACAAATTGTACATACCGTGTTACGAAGGTAATCCATACGGCGTTTATTTGAGCTCTATATCACACAAAACAAGAAGATAGAATTGACGAGAGTCCCTTTTCGACGACAGTGTTCGTCAACACTGCCTCGGAAAAAAGGGGGAAGAGATTGACCTCACCTCTTAATCTAAAATTGGGGTCAGCGATCAAGCTATAATACGGGAAGGGTCCAGAAGGGTCGCGCGGGAATATTCTATTCAGCACGCCAGCCGGTCGTGGGCAGACGGTCTTGGACAAGTACCGTTGAAGCAACGCTGCGCCGAGTTGGAGTGCTTGCAAAACCTATCTGCCGAGTTCGCTTGGTCGGGGTCGGTGGATTCGTGGCCGTTGTCGCTTTTCTCGGGTGTTTGTGGATCCGGCGTTCTTGTTATTCGTGGTCTGTTTCAAGTACTTTTTTCTTGCTGCTTGAAGTCGGGACGCGCGAGGAGAACACGTAGAAACATAAGCGTTCGTTGGTTGTCGCGACCAGTAACTGAGCGACGCTGCCGGTCCTACTGCGCACGCGCAGTAGTTGCTTCGCTTACCACACGATAGATGGCACTTGGCTCTCAGCATTATCAAATTTGTCAATTTTCGTCACATCTCTAATTTTGCTACAAAATTTAAATCTGAATATTATGTAACGAAACTTCTAGGAAACATTCGCCTGCTATTTATTGTTTACGATCGCGGTGCTGGTGAGGTAGGCCCAATAAGCGTCGTGGATTCGGTGACGTGCTGCGATTCCGCGGTTGCATCGCAGTGAAAAGGCAGAAAGTTTTCGAAGGGAAAAAGGCGCAAAAGAGTCCTGTTTTTTTTTAACAGTTCTATAGCAAAGAAATTTTTTTTGAATCCCTATCTTTGTGTTTTTGTGTTTCTTTTCACACTTTTTACGACGATCGGTGGATGAAATTCGATTTCAAAATCGTTTCATGGTCCCGTTAAAGCGAAGCGAAAAACCACGAGGATCTTTCTGGATCATCCCGTTTTCTCGTCGAAGGACATTATCGAAACTGACCACACCCAGCTGCGTCCTTCCTAGCGGGTTGCGTTTTCTTGCGTAGTCCTTCGTGTACCCCGAGTTGCAGCGGCCGTGTGTGTTTTTCTCTAGAGCCCCTTGTCACGACAAGGCACAACTTTCTTCTTGGAGGCATCTGAGTAGAGTGACCGCTCCGCGGGACGACGATACCCGGCGGAATCTCGTAATGGCTGTTACGCCCTTTTCGAGTGGCAGTTTGGTCGATTGCATCGGCCGGGGCCGTTGTTGCGGAAGGGTCAGCCGCGCCTGTTCCCGTGGCGCAGCCGAAAGCGATTTGGACGGAGCGGACGAGGACCTCTCAGAGCCGTGCCGTACGCGCCATGGGGCGACCGGGCGTGTTCTGAATGGCCGAGGAACTATCCAATGTCTACCGAAATAAACAGCACGTGCGAGCGCTCTGTGCCGAAAGAATGAGGAAAAGGTTACGAGCTGTTACGCGTGATGGACACTTGAGTTACGGTACTCGCTCCGATACACGAAGGGTCTGTTTGTTCCTCAGAGAGTCGTGTAGCACGGTATGTTCTTTAGGATCAACTTAATGTCTCTTACGAAATGCGAGTGAAAGGAGATGCGCACCAAGTGTAAGATATTTGAAAAATGGCCTGTATTTGCCTAATCTCGGTTTACGCCGAAGATTTCTCGTTTATGTTTCTTTAAAAAATAAAAGTGTTCTTTTTATCACAGCGCAGTTTTGAAATCTGAATTTCTGCTGTACCCATTCCACATACCACCACGCATCGAGTACCCAGATGAAGTCGGGATTGCATGGTGTCACACTAATCCCCACTTTAGATCATTCGTACCTCGTACATCTACTGACTAGAATCATCTCCCCACATCCATTGCCACAATTCTTAATCTGTTGATTAAAAAAATGCTGTAATCGAACTATACTAAGACCCGTTTCATCATTTTCTTGTTCCTTTTAAAAAAAATTTTTTTATTTTATTTAATTTAATGCACATTGCCAACTCACCCTCCTCTGTAATTCTTTCGGGCCCTGAGGTCACAAATAAATGAAAAGGAAATGGAATGCAACTAGTTTTCTTTGACAAATTATAAACGTTGAAAGGAATCTGAATGGCAGCAGAGTTTTTATTAGAGGCAGACACCTCGGCAAAACACTTCCCTTCGTCAAATGCATAAAAACACCCAGTGTTTTCACATTTGAAAAAGGGGAGTCTTTTCCCGAAATAGCTGTGCCTAGTAAAATATCGTTTGCTATTGAAATTGCTCTCAAAATTCATTATCATTAGTGAGGGCTACGAGATGGAGCAGAGGTGTCCCCTTGACTGAACATTACGAGCTTATGATCGTCGGAAGGCAAGTCAAGAAAAAGTAAATCAGATGGTCAGGAATTGGGACATTTAACTCCCGGCATGACCTCGTGTTATCTTGACATGGGGTGACACGTTTGGGCCTTTACCTGCTATTTCTCTCGTTAATATCTCTATACCCCGACTCATACAGAAAAAGTGTCATTTTTGTTCACTCGAACTGCACACTATAGAACTCTGAGCGTGCAGACAACGGCGCCCACTTTCACCCGAATGGTCCTATATGTACGCGCATTCAAGCCGAGTGTGAGACAACGAAATAGCACACGTCGTCTCGTTTTAAGAAACCTACCGGCAGTCATTGCTACGGCACTTTTAAGTCACTGCACAATACTAAAGGTGCATAATTTAGTAAAGGGGGAATTGCAACGGGGCCGTTCTCCGCCATGTGTATATATTTAACGTACAGAGGCGAGCGCTAAGGCAGGCGGCGCTGTCCGTCGTCTGTTTACTCAGGGGATCGCTATGGAGTTGGAAACACGGACACGTTTCCTAGCAGCTGCAGCACCTTTAATCGCGTATTTGTTGTTCCCGTCAATTAACAACCTGTCGACTATTTACCTTAATTTAAGAGTTTTCTCTCTTTTTTTTTTTTTTTAAGAAAGACAGGCTTGTGGTACGGCTATGTTTGCAGCGGCAATAAAGTTAGTCCGGCTTGAAATCTCGCGTCGTATGCAGAGACGCCTTGTGCAACATTTCATTCTTATAGTATTTTTTTTCACGTTTAACTACTAAAAAACAGTCTGCCGTGTCACTGTGTCCATTTCTCTTTTTCTAGTTATACAAGTCTAATGTTTTTTTTTTATTTTTTTTTTAATCTGCAATAAAAGATGCTATTGATCGTAAGTTTAACGCACACTTCGACGGTTTCTGTGTTTTGAGAGAATATTTGCCGCGTGCACTTGACGAGTTGTATTGTCCCTTGTATTTACGCAGTGTTGCGTTCTATAATACGCGAGACGCCATCGTCGCGAAGGTCACTAGTAGAGCACGTCGTCCATTCAAAGTGTACTGTGCTGTGCGTAACACTGGACGATACTGCATGTACATTTCCTCGCGATATTTTTTTGTCATCAAAGAAAGAGACCGATTGACTTACGCACGTGTCCCCCTTTTGTGTGTTTCAGTTCTTCGTCGACCGATCTTGCTGCAAGAAGGGGAGTTTTCAGCAGACGACACTATGGTTCGGTGGAAATGGTGAGCGTCTTTTTCCTAAGCAATCCTCCTTCGGTTCCTAGGCCTAAAAAGGCTTCGTGACGTCCGGATATTTATTTCGACTGACACCAAACATCATTATGATGTCCATAATATAGAACAGGGGTGGCCAAGCTGAGGCTCGCGAGCCGCATGCGGCTCTTTGCGTGTTAAAGTGCGGCTCGCGGCTCCCTCCCTACCCCCCTCCCCCACCCCCCCCCCCCCCCTTTACCCCCCAAACTTCCCCCCAAAAAAAGAATTGCAACGCGTTTTAAATCAAAAGACAGGTTGCGGTTTGGTGGTCTTGTGCCACTCCTACCTTACGTACAGATGGACTGCTTTTGACTCGGATAGATTGAAAGTACTTTAAGTTTCGTTTATTGCTCTAAACGAAAGCTTGTTCCCCACGGCTCTTGGAAGTTTCGTGGTTTTGTTTGCGGCTCTTAGGCTGGGTTAGCCTGGCCACCCTTGATATAGAATATATTTTTTTTTAATCTGCAGTGACACTGCTACAACATCGACAAAAACACTGTGTGAGGCGTGTTTATTCTTCGTAAGGGGGGGGGGGGGGGACGGTCACACTGGCCATATAAAATCTCTCTACAGACATTTTCAAAGCATGTATGAATCCGTCAAGCTTCGGGGCGTGTCTACAGAAAATACTGTCCTCGTGTGGACAGCGAAACAGCGTGTCTCTTGTATGACGCATGAGCAGCGTGATTGCGGCTTTGGTGTCCAAATTTCACGTCGCATGAAAAATTTGAAAAAAAGAAAACGAAACGTGGAGAAAATATAAACAGCGTCTCCTTACGCAACTTTGGGTCAGGATGCACGAGTTCTTTAGAGACGAACTCCCTAGTACCCCTAGTGTATACCGTCAACGTTCCTTGAACCGACTGCGCGAACCGCAAAAGAAATGAGAGACAGCACTAATGATATCACTGTAATGAAATTACAGTAAGGAAATTACTTTTTGTTGTAATGAGTCATGTCATGCATTACTTTTCTAGCCTGGTAATATGGTAATGCAATGAATTACTTTCAGGCAGTAATTTCGAGAAAATTACACGTTACTTTTTCAATTTCTTTTGTCCCCCCCCCCCCCTCCCCAAAAAAAAAAAAGTTCGTTTGCGAGATTTAAAAAGAAAGAGCAAAATTATTTTGCATGGTAAGATGTCGGGAAAGTGGCATCTAAGCCAATAAACGACGGCCATCTGAGGCTCTGAGCGAAGAGCCTCGTACTAAGAACTTGGCAGACGCACAAAGGCGCGCTGGAAAAGCGAATGAGAAAAAAACTCACGTGCAAAGACATCGCTGGAAGGCCACGACTCACGAACTCCAGGAAAGACAGATTCACGGCTCCACGTCATCATGACGGTACCCTGCTTCGTTCATCCCTAAGCTGACAGGGCGGCGGGACCTACGAGCTCACCAGAACCAACCAACCACCTTCCTTTCATGACCCGACCCCTTCTCTGCGCATGGGTATGAACGAGAGCGCGGTTACGTGGCGAAGGATAGACACGTGGCTGTTCCAACGAGCACGTAGCTTCCACCGCACTGTCAGCTTAGGGAGGAACGGCTTATAGTCTACAAGGCGAAGGGTATACATCACCAGTGAGGTCCACACGCTTTAAAACGTGAGAGAACAGGGCAAACAAGTCCCTATCCATCTTGCTCCTCCGTCAAGGAAGGTCAAACCGTAAACTTTGGCCATTGTGAGCGAGAAACTACCGGAATAAATAGTAAATCGCAAATGCCTTGCCAAGGTCCCAGAACGTTTCGAGCGTGCCCCTGGCCTTGTTAAGTGAATGTGCCTTTTGTAGTCGGAAAAGACGGGAATCGAACAAGGCTGGTGTCACTAGTGGTATTCTTCGCTGCCATTCCTTGGGAAATTTATTCGGGAATGAGCCTACGAGCAGATATCGCCACCCGCTTGTGGGAAAAGTATACGCGATTTAGGAAGTTCGCGCCACCACCTATCCTCAATTGACGACGGTTCTGCCTAGCGAATATCCAGGCCCCTTGTGTGACAACGCGCAATAACTTTGACTCTTCGGGCGTTTGGGAACAATACTTCTTGAGAGGAATGACCGGAAATGCGTCAACTAGTGCACTTGTGAGGATAGGACTAGATTGCGTCCGAGACGGAAAGGAAACGTTTACGTGGCGACTTCTTGTAAGAACGAGCTACAATGGCCCGACTTAACATACTGACACGGACTGTAACTTCTTTTTATTTAAAAAAGACGGAAACATATACCCATTGAACTAAGGACCTTCACCGTTGAATTAACAGCGAAGCCGTTAAGTCGACTTTTTTGAGTCGCATCAAAAGCAAAAGCTATTCCTCTTATCACTTATGTCGTGTGCACCAACAAAAAGACTGTTCAGTATTCAATTCATTTTTTTATTTACTCCCATTTGTACATATGGGTGACGGAGACAGGGAAAAAAGCTGCAAAATGTGCAGCTTTTTTCCCTGTCTCAATGGTTTACATTGAGGCGCATAAGGCTGTTGCGGTGTAAACAGGAAGATCTGCTAGTTGGTAAATATACTGTGAATAAAGTGAGCACGAAGCACTGCCTCGAGGCATTAAAAATTAATGTCACAGTAATTTCATTACTGATTGAAAATAATTGTAATGTAATGTCATTACCTTTAGTCTGCAGTTATTTATAATGTAATTTAATTGCGTTGGCAGTTTTCAGAACAGTAATCAGTAATGTAATTTAATTACTTTTTGAAAGTAAATTTGCCATCTCCGCAAGCAATGCATCATGAAACAGAGTATGCCCGTTTATGCGGTAGTGGTGCATGGTGCTGCCATAATCAGTCTTTCGTTTTGTGTATTTATTGCTTTGGTTGCTTCATTTCACTGCCACAATCGTAGAATAGAGAAAAAGAAGTTGTACCGCCTTTGGCGGTACCACTTCTTTTGAATGCGAAACCATTAAATGGCTCATGGAGCGATCGGGCGTTATCTGAGTGAAGCCGGCGTTATCGTTGTCCGTAGCAGCGATATACGGCACCTAAATTCCCCTGAGCGACACGGGACCTTAAATCCCATTGGCTGCGACGCGTCATGTGGTTCCATAGCAACGGCGTCACTGCTGGCGGCGCAGCGGGAGGGGGCGGACGCGGGTATGCGGTGACCTGACGTTAGGCCTAACGTTAGGCCTGTCGTTACGCTTCAAGGTCTGACGTCGTCAACCAGTATGCGCAACTGTTTAACGTGAAAGGGGGGGGGGGAGGACGCGGGTATGCGCTGGTCTGACGTTAGGCCTAACGTTAGGCCTAACGTTTCTAATGGCCTGGTGCTTCTCGTAAAGTCGCAGTCACTCTGCTCGTACATCACACAAAAAACTCGGTGTTTGTTGCAGACATGATGACAGAATTGTGTAGTATCCCTCAAGCATGTTCGAAGGCTTCGTACATAGGAAGAAACAAGGAATAAACATGGCTTAGACGCCGTCTGCAAACTGTTTTCGGTTGATGTATTAGCAGTGTCATCGCAACTTTATGGGCCACGAAAGCCATGGTTCTAGCGTGATGTGTACAAAGACCGTCGATAGTCAAGTTTCCTCACATATTTATCATCTGCGTTCACGACCAAATTATTAAATAGGTACTAAGCTTATATTATCACTATATAAAGTTCTAACGCGTCTTTTTTTTTTTCTTTAGATTGTTGTTCAGTTCAAGTTTTAGAGCTCGGTTTCCTGTCGCAATTCTGGCGGTATCCTTTGTATGTTTACAAGCGCACGGAGACAGCCCACCGCGATGATCGTGACATCGTACAGTAACCTAGTTTCGGTTTACGAGGGTTCTTGCCACCGAGGAGCACCGCCGAGATTTATAGGCCCGTATTTGTGCGGCCTGAGAGCATCTGGGCACTCGTTCGGCGCTGTAGAACATAGCAGAGCGTTCGAAAATAGTTCCCCCCTCAATCAACGTTGGCAGGTGCGGTTGGCCCAGACCTTGATTTTTTTTTCCTCGGCTTTCACTGCTGCTGGTTTTATGTGTAATCTTCAACGTTTCTGAGATTCGACGAGATTCAAAATGGCTAGGAATATACTCTTTTTTTTTTTTTTCAATTCGTCAAGCAATTGTTATTCTCACACTCGCGCACCGTGAGTTTTTCTTTTTTTTTTTTTAATATAGCACTGTTTGCATTCCCCCCCCCCCCCCCCTTTAAAAAGCGATTTCAGCTAAGAAGCTTCTGAAAAGCGTGTGAAACTTTCTTCGTCCGTAGGATTAAAGTAACGGAATGCCTCGTACCTATTGTTTTGCTTTGTTCGCGCTCTGACGTAATCGATTTATGTCTCTTACCTACATATATGTTCGGAATTTGCTTTTTTTTTCTCACAATTTTTATGACAGTTTTATTTTAATTTTTATCCTTTTTATACGCTTACTGATAATACCCACGCCTCATCTGGTGCCTTAATTATGATTTGTTCTGGGAGCCTTTCAAAATCTCGCCGGTTCTGAGGATTCCGCCGTGCCCTGCAACGATTATCATTAAAAGAAATTGGTCTGCTGAAAAGGAACAATTACATTTTATCCCGGCTTGGAAACGTGCTGTCTAATAACAGTGTTTTTTTTTTACGCAGGCGTTATAGCGGGTTCGCTTTTGAAGTAACGTTCGTTGCTAAGCACTTCAAATGATTGTTTCAGCGGAAAAATTAGTTTCGATAATCGAGCCAAACTATACACTAATTATAGGCGAAGGAGCAGATATTTCGATGTGCAGCCGGGTGTACGCATTTTAAATTTCCCTATCCGATAATGTTAGGTCAATCTTTTTTTTTTCTTTTTTTTAATAAATCCAACGTCTAGGCGCGTATTTTTCCATGTAGAAACAAGTGTTATGTAAAAAAAAAATAATTTAGCATTTTTGTATGCAGCTATTGAGACACAGAGCCATGGAGAGTGAGCACGTATATCATCAGGGCGTATCCTATGATGGTTATGCTTGTTGCTACGTGATGGGTTCTTC